AGAGAGAGAGAGAGAGAGAGAGAACACTCATTAGTTACCCTTAGTTATGCAGTTTTAACTTTAACTTTACAAATTCATCTTAAAGCCTAGCCTTATAGCACATACATACATATATGTTATGTCTAAGCCTACACCTGATTTAACTTCTAAAACTCACTTTTAGCACCCAAAGGTTTAATACCAGAAAAACGCGAGAAACTACAATGTACAATGTAGAACCCTTACACTCATTAGTTACCCTTAGTTACGCAGTTTTAACTTTAACTTTACAAATTCATCTTAAAGCCTAGCCTTATAGCACATACATACATATATGTTATGTCTAAGCCTACACCTGATTTAACTTCTAAAACTCACTTTTAGCACCCAAAGGTTTAATACCAGAAAAACGCGAGAAACTACAATGTACAATGTAGAACCCTTTGTTCTGAGATCTCCGTTGGCCAATTTAACCAACAGTGTCTCGCTATCTTAAGAAAACATCATAGCTGTACACAGAGAGAGCGGTGTGTTTGGAGCCGGCCAACAGAAACATGTTACAATGTCACATCTACTAACGTCGTCAAGAAGCGTCTTCCCGCCACTTACAACCCTTGTGACAGCTCTCATTTTCTTAACCTGTGTAGATACTTTTCTCTTTTCTTTCTTTCTTTTTTTTTTTTGTATCATGGATCGAACTCGGGTCCTTGCGCTCGCGAGACAGGCAGTAGAACCACTGAGCTAAATCCCTGGCCTGTTGATGCTATTTTCAAGCTGGTGTACACAGATGAGGACAGGCACTGCATTTATAAAGCCAACCTCCACATCAGTGTGAGTGGTTGACAGTCTGAAAGGCAGCAGATCACCAGCTTCAAGGAGAGCTTTCCTGCTACAGACGGATCTACTTCAGCCCACTCTTGAGCCATGGGAACCTAGATAATAGTTTTGTTTTGTTTTGTTGTGGAAAGCCGAAAAGAACCAGGGAAAAGAAAAAAAGTTAAAGTCACATAAAATTGGTAGGAGCTCAAAAGGCTTTATCAAAGCACCTTTAGGTAAATTAATCAGTTTATTTTTGTTTTTGTTTTTTGTTTTTTGAAACAGGGTCTCACTATGTAGTTGAGACTGACCTGGAACTCACTATGTAGCCCAGGCTGGTCTCGAACTCACAGCAATCCTCCTGCCTCAGCCTCCAGAGTGCTGGGATTACAGGCGTGCGCCACCAGGCCCAGCACATTAATCAGTTTAAGCACACAAGAAACAGACACACAATTATTTTTTGATTAGAGTGCTCTCTTAGATGTGAAATAACTGGTATTGTCTGACCTGTCCTACATAGTTGGCACTGCCATCAATAAACCATACATAATTTTTTTTAAACATGTCTTGGCCTCCTACTTTTTTCACCATCTCTCCTTTTTTTTTTTTTTTTTTTTGGTACTGGAGATCGAACTCAGGCCCTTGCACTTGCAAGGCAGTCAGCAGAACCACTGAGCTAAATCCCCAGCTTATCTTTCCTTTTTTTTTTATCCCAGTAGGGGATAAAACATTATCATATAATATTATCATATAAAATCCTCTCACACCAAAAATACAACTTCAGGGCTAGGGATTTGGCTCAGTAGTTCTGCTGCCTGCCTGGAAAGCCAAGGGCCTGAGTTCAATCCCCATTACCCCCCCCAAAAAAAAAAGCCTGCCTCTAAATTGACCAGGCTGAGCTTGAACTTTCAACCTTCCTGCTTTAGCCTTTCAGGGCCAGGATGACATTTGTCACCATACTGGGGTCGCAGCTTTTGAATTTTATGTTGACTCTTCCAAAGGAAAAACATTTGACTGCAAAATCAGAGGTCATCATCTCCTATTTTTAGATTTATTTTTATTTATTTATTTACTTATTTTGGAACCAGGGATCAAACTCAGGACCTTATGCTTTCAAGGCAGGCACAGAGCCACTGAGCTAATTCCCTGGCCTGCAGATTTTATTTATTTTTGAGATTGTGGGGGGTCTCACTTTGTTTCCCAGGCCGGTCTCTACCTCCTGGGCTCAAATGATTCTCCTGCTTTAGCCCCAAGGAGGTGGGGTTACAGGTGGCTGCTACTGCACCCAATTTAATCTCTTTTTATTTCCATCTATGGTACTGGGGATTGAATCCATGGGCACTGAACTAGCAACACTTTTTACCTTTTTTTGGGGGGGCGGTTTTGAGACAGGGTCTCACTATGTAGTTGAGACTGACCTGGAACTCACTATGTAGCCCAGGCTGGTCTCAAACTTGCAGCGATCCTCCTGCCTCAGCCTCCCAAATGCTGGGATTATAGGCATGCGCCACCACGCCCGGCTTTTACCTTTTATGTTGAGACAAGTTCTGGCTAAGCGACCCCAGCTGTGTTTGAACTTGAGGTCCTCCTGCCTCAGCCTCCTGAATGGCAGGGATCATGGGTGTGCACCACCATTCCCAGCTAAATGGAAATTTCAGCTGCACCTGCCACTCCAAGAGACCTCCCCTCTCCCCTCTCTCCTTCCTGGTGTGGGCCGTCACCTTGAGCAGTGCCAGGGTGGCAGGCTGGGATGGTGTGAACCGGCCCTGCAACCCAACACGTGCTGGGTGCCAGCACCTGGAGAGCTGGACTGTGGCCAGGGAGGAAACAGAGGAGGCCGAGGGCCAGGCCTGACGGAGGACGTTAAGGGGCAGAGCCCTCAGGGTGTTGGGGAGGACGGGAAAGAGGCAGAGGGGACAAGAGGGGAACAAGAGAGGGTCCAGCCCTGGCCCTGCTGGGAAAGTGTGGGCTGAGGATGTCCGTGCTCAGAGGTCCCCAGACGCACAAGGCAGACTCACACACAGATAGAGAGACAAGCAGGGAGACACAGAAATATAAACAGAGACACACACACGTACCCAGAGACAGATACAAAGAGACAGGCACACAGAAACAGAGACAAAGACACACACTCGCAGACATACAGACCCACACAGAGATACACCCACACAGAGAAACACAATCAGCACAGAGACGGATGTCCTTGGAGATAGGCCCACCTCTGCCTCCACCGGAGTTCTCTGTCTTCGGGGCAGAGGAGCCCCCGGCCTCAGAGCAGGAACGTGGCTTGGGCTGTGCCAGGGAGGTCTGTCCCTGTTACAGCGGCCAGCCGCAGCTAGCAGGTAGAGTGGCTGGACCCCGAGGGTAGGGCCAGCGAGATGGGGGCATCCACGTAGACTCCCTGGACTTCAGTCCCTGCCCCAGGGTGTCAGGAGCGAGTCCCTGAGACCACCAAAGGTGCCAGGGTCCCAAGGAGTAGATGATGGGGTCTCAAGGTGCTGATTAGAAACTGAATTCTCAGGGAAGGGCTCTGGCTGCCATAGGTAGCAAATCATCACAAACTTGGTGACTAAAAACAACACCAACTTGCAGCTGGATGTGATGGTACACGGCTGTCATCCCAGCACTCTGGGAGGCTGAAGCAGGAGGATCTTAAGCTCAAGCCCAGCCTGGACTTGGTGAGACCTTATCTCAAAATAAAAGAATAAAAAGGGGGTCACATCACAGTCTGCAGTTGGGAATGTTTATGTGGTCTTGGGGTGTCCTTAAGATGGGCTATGCAGGAAGTGCATTCCCAGCAACTGTTCAGGCCCTGGAGGGTTGGCACCTGTCTGAGGGTAAGAGAGGAGCTGTCTACTTAACAACACTGCTTCTTAGGAAGGAGGCCTGTGGGATTCGTGAACCTACAGCACCTGAGGAAAAGCACAAGTTCAGTTTACAGGTGAAAAGCAGGGGCCAAATTTACAGTTTAATTGAATCTTTGAGACCCTTGTGATTTTTTTAAAATGAGGTTCCTGGAACAAAGGAAAAAAAAGACATTGCAACCTGAGTACATTGAATGTGTCCCAAAGCTGCAGTTTTTCTTTTTCTTTTTTCTTCTTTTTGGGATGTGGGAGGTTAAAACAGGGTTTGACTACATAGTCCACCCTGAACTTGAACTCACCATGTCGCCTTGGCTAGCCTCGAACTCAGCCTCCCTAGTGCTGGAATTGTCAACCAACTGTGAGCCCCCACACCTGGTGATCCCCACTCTTGCTCACTGGCAGGAAGAGCCCAGCGTCCTGCGGTGGGTGACTCGACCAAAGCCCTACTTCCTCCTGCGGGCGATTGCAGGGCCTGGGATCAGCCTCTGTGACCGAATCTGGCCCTTAGCCAAACCGAGGCTGACACTGCCACTCTACCAGGCCGCTCACCTGACTTTATCACCCCATCTCTGCCGCCCAGGCCCTGTGGGTCAGCAACCCGCAGCCTTTGCTGGAAGCCTTGCCCCATCGCATCCTGCCGCTGCCCCTGACTCCCCGGCCAGGCCTAACGCTCAACAAGGTCCCCAGATTTGGGGTGCGGAGGGGATCCAGGCCTTCTTTGCAAAGCCTAGTACAGATGCGCGGGCCAAACCATGGTGATCAGAGGAGGGGATCAGGGAGGTGGCTGCCGGGACCTGGGGAGCTGGAGGCTGGGTTCAAAGCCTGGGCGCAGACTGGAGACCTGGGCACGGGGCGCCGGTGGGGCTGGACCTGTGCGCAGGGGAGGGGCTGGGTGGAGCCCGGG